CATAGCTAGTGAAATTATAGGCTTCACACAACTAGAATGCACTTAATGGGTGGACTTCAACACCGTGCTATTACAAACACTCTGCCTGCACAAGCATTTCAGCTGAATGGAATGATCCCTCCTCGCCTTCCCCTGTGTTCTGGTGGTTCACCCAAACCCCTCAGAGCCTATTTCAGGGGCTGTGGGAGGAGAAGGGGGGGGGGGGAAATGCCCCATTGCACAAGCAGAAATCTTTGTGCAGGGTTTCTGCGGACGAGGTCTGTTAGGTGAACCCCACCCTTTGAGTTTGTGTCACTTCAGAGTAGAGAAGAAAAGATTAGCTTAAAACATCTGAAATGAACAGCTCTAAATGAACTCCACTGTTGTGACATGTTTTTGAAAGTCATGTTTCTGGGGAGAAGACAGAGCCGGGGAACAGTATCTTTATGAAAATCAACTAAGTTGAATTCAGCAGAATTACGACGTCAAACAGCAAATCCAGCTGTCTTTTTTGGTGAAGGAGAGAGATAGTATATTGCTCAGTGATGATGAAGAGACAGCAGCACTAACACACTTGGCAGAAGTTCTGAAAGGCATCACATGACTAACCCTTCAGGCTAGAAGAAATAGATAATTTCACTCAAAATCATCAGCTGAAGACTTATGGGCAGCTAGACACCAACAGACACATCGTGCTATCTGTCTTCGATGATGACAAGTTCATGCAAACTGCTATATTTTAACTACTATATACAAAACGTATGCTTAATCACATTTGTCCTACTCTGCTGGCATGTAAGCACATCCCTGTGAGTCCATGGGCTTCTGGGAGTCATCATCTCCACCCAGGGACGTCTGATAGAGTGGGGTCAGGTGACTTCTTTCTGAGAACAGATGGGATATTCTTCACTCAGCCTGGAGAAGCAATGAGTTGCAGGTAAAGCTTTGAGAGAAACAGACTGGAATAAAACTGCAGATTTTTTGGCAAGGCTTATTGTTTCCTTTTAATAGCTTTTCTCTAATATCTATACAAATGTTTGTGGTGTAAAATGTATAATTTTAGAAGTTAAAATGCCAACTTCTTTTTCTACAATAATAACACAAACAAAATATCCTGTCATGAATGAACATGCAGAATTATACTGCTGTCAGTTCTGAATTAGTTGCTCCTCATAAGATTAAAGGTAAAGGTAAAGGGACCCCTGACCATTAGGTCCAGTCGCGGACGACTCTGGGGTTGCGGCGCTCATCTCGCTCTATAGGCTGAGGGAGCCGGCATACAGCTTCCGGGTCATGTGGCCAGCATGACTAAGCCACTTCTGGTGAACCAGAGCAGCGCACGGAAACGCCGTTTACCTTCCCACCAGAGCGGTACCTATTTATCTACTTGCACTTTGATGTGCTCTCTCTCTCTCTCTTTCTCTCTCCCACATCCCTGACTTATGAGATGCATTAAAATAGGTATTCTGTAAAATAAACTAAAATTTAAAATCCACCACAGTGTATACTCAAATAAATTAAAAATAAATTAAATTAAAAGTATTAATGTCACCTTATCTGAACAACTGGCTCCAATGAGGCCTTAGATCACTTTTTAAAAATGCTCAGTCTTTGACTCTAAGGTTGGATCTATATACCCCAAAGGAGAGTTTCAGGAAAATGCGTTGCAATATTTATAATGAGAAATCGCCTTGGCAAAAACAGAACTCCACAGCGCCATCTGGTGTCAAAGTGTTATATCACATATAAAACACATTTAAAACGCTTTTACTTTACCAATCTAGCTGAGTCCCAATATATATTTCATGGAATAGACTTCTACAGTTGTCAGAGCAACAGCCTCTGCATGTCCTTCCCCTGCTGTTCAAACATGGCGAACAGATGACACCTACTTTTTTATTGTTTTGAAAGACTTGATAGAATGGAAGAGAAGAAGAGACCCGGAAGTATGACTAAGGTTTTATTTTTTAAATTTTACAGGTTGGGGATGTGAGACATACCTGCTCTGATATGTAAATCCTTAATGTTGGATCAGCTGCTATCAGCTAATCATTTTAAGTTACATTAGATTTCTTTTTAGATGCTCTGGTGATCACCTATTCTTCATGAAACTAGTATCTCTAAAGCATATTTCCCTAGTCAAATTTCTTTCTCTTCCCCATTTCCTTGCCCTCAAATTTCATCCTCCCTGAACTATTCAGTCACAGTTTTAGTTCAGCAACTGGCCTTTCAACAAAGCACTTCCATTGTTAGTTCAGCAGTTTAGATAGCACAACAGAGAGCTTCATTCTGCAGAAAGGGACCACCACACCTTTCGGCTTCTAAGCAGGAAAATATTGCTGCTTAATATTTGTTTCAAGATTTGCCTTAGGATGAACTCAAGATTTGCAATTGGAGGCTGTTCGATACAGTTCGATTCAGGCTAACTTAGGCATTGCTGGAAAGGCATTCAGCGCCCCACTGCATAGAAATGATTCAAAGATCGCCGGTCAGCTCCAAAAGTCCAGTTCGCTGGCAACAAGTGTTGGAACAACGCATTATGGATTAATGCAGGCCTGCACTAATCACCTACCACGATCACCAGGGACTTATAAATTTCCTGTTTGGGTCCCCGCCTGGGACTGCTCTTCAAGCACTTAATAGATAAGACTGTGTTCAGCATGGTGGGTCACATATATTTTGATCAGTTGGTTTAATGTTTGGATTACATTTTTTGGTGATGCCAACATCCTGAAAAAAGAGAAACACTTACTGATGAGTTCACTGAAGAAGCAGGATAACACACCCATTGCTTTCTGAGTACATTAAAAGCAACAAATTCATATAGTAATGAAACCACTCTCACCTGTCTGTTGGAAGAACACTAGCCTCATGCAGTGTGGATAACATTTTTGTTTCATCACATGAACAAGGCAGAACTGTTTGCGGAAATCTCTCTCTCTCGCTCTCTCTCTCTCTCTCTCTCTCTCTCTCTCACACACACACACACACACCAGTGCTCTTTTTTTTTTAATGTTCAGGGGCACTCTCATTTTGACTCAAGAAAATCACCATTTTATAGTTCAAATCGGGGAAAATAAATACAGTAAAAGGACAAAAGTATAAAGATTCACAAAATGTTTAGGGGTATGCGTACCCCTGCGTCCCCCCCAGAAAAAAGCACTGTGTGTGTGTATATATATATATATATATTCATCAAACCCTTTGTGGATTTGTGGCATTATGGCGGTATGGTTCTCTGTACTTCAGTGAAGGTCCTGGTGATTTTGTAACTGGAAAGTTTGTAAGGTACGTGTTTTGCCCGTGAGTCAATATAAAAGGTAGCTTGCTCAAATGCCAAAGCTATCCAGAAAAATCTAAATTTATACTGGCCTTAAGCCAAGGTACCTTCTCTGATGATGACAGATATACAGCAGTATAAACAAAAACATCTGAAGTTTCTTGAGTGCCAGAAGAAAAGAGGAGGTAAAGAACCCTTTTCTACCTTCTGTGGAGAAGAAGAAGAAAGGAACGGGTTAAATGATGCAAAATAGGAGGCCTCTATAAATTTATATTTTATAAATGCAAATAATTTAGGAAATAAGGAGGCTGCGTTAAGCATGCTTGTTGGGACTTTATTAATGCTCTCCATATCTCTGCACCCTGATATAGGTTATCATCACATTCACTTTCCACTTGGCTTAAAATTAGATCAGCTCTCCAGCAATGCTTTGGGAAGCTGCTCTTGGAACTCCACATTAGGGATCCATCGGGTAAATACTAGCAAACAAAGGCTTCGGTCACAGACAGGCTGCTTCCACACTGGCATTTACTGTGAAACAGCTGCGCTTTGTTCACTCACTTTTTCTAAGGAATCTACACAATGTTATGAACAGCACACACTTCTCTCATTTGTGTGTGTGTTCATCTTCCCTTTCCCCAAAACTCACAAAACTTGACTTTAAAAAAGAAAGAAAGAAAGAAAGAAAGAAAGAAAGAAAGAAAGAAAGAAAGAAAGAAAGAATTCCAGCTGGTTAGATTACTCTAGAGATTTTCCATATTGTGCCCTAGAAAGTACCTTCTCTGTGGTCTGTGGCTGCCAACACACAACCTTTTTAAAGAACATTAAAAGCACATAAGAATGGCAACTCTGGTGGAATCTACACACATATTGAAAATGTTCTGAAAATGCTTTTTTTAAAAAAAAACATTTTTAACAATACATTGAATTCTGCATAAGGCTCACTATCGCCAGCTGGTGTCGCATTGTATATTGCTCTTAAAACACACTTAAAACGTTTTATTTGTGATGGTATTGTTGAGGGGTAAACTATGGTGACCAGAATTCGTGGAGGGAAAGAATGTGATTCAAATGTGCTTTAAAATGTATAGTCTGCACACAGCCTAATTCTTCCTGCTAGAAATAAGCTGTAGTCTGTTAACCCTTCCCTTTCCAAATAGCATTGTATCATATTGCTGGCAAGGGGGAGAATGATTATCAGTAGTGCAGCCAGGAAGACGTTCCTGCTCCCAACATCTGGAAACACCCAAAGTGATAGCTCTGCAGAGTTGTAAATCAGCAAATGTCTTCTTAGAATAGCATGGCTCCCCTGCCCCAACCCAGGTGATCAGAAGTTGACATGTGTGTCTCTGTGTGTTTTTAAATCGAACACCTCATTGTCCCCAAGGTCCTCAAGCCATTACCAAATATGCTAATTTTCCCAGCTAAGCCTGAGATCAGGAGAATCACATGCTGAATAAACGGCTTCTCCTGGGCTCCCTGAAGTGGAGATTCGGCTTGATGGGCTGCTAGCTTGTGGCAAAGCTGGTTTATGAACTGCAGTGTTCATTCACTTGTAGTTGATCATTGTCAGAGGATAATGGGGGGGCCGACGTCTCATGTGTGATGTCAGGATGTCAGGAGGAGCCAGGAGGTGGAGCCGAATGTGGTGGCCGCGTGGCTGCAGTGGCCTGTGGCTCCTCCTGTTGCTGCTACCGCCGCCACCAGCTGGGCACTGCTTTCCCACTCCTTCCTCCTACAGCAGGAGAAGGAGGAGAAGGAGCTAGCCACTGAAGCTGTGCCACACGCAGCTCCAGGCTTGGCCTCCTCCTGCTAAATTTTCCTAAAAGTTATTTACAAAAGGAAAAAGGAAAAAGAGTGCCTTTAGCAGAAACCTTGGAAATTTAGAACAAATTTTTCAGGTTAGTTCTTCAAGCAGAAAACGCATCCTTTCCCAGCGAAGACCTGTTCTGCTGAGCAATATGTGAGTAAACATAATAATCTAATTCCTTTAATCCTATTGCTTGCTTTCACTTTTGATCTCACCCATATTTCCAGCCTGCCAAACCCAACAGACCCATTGAATCCCAAGTGTACACAGCAGAGACAGTATTTATTTTACAGACAAGGATGTGCTCCTTGTTTAGCTGGGATAGATTCCTAAACCAAATCACTGCAGTAGGATATGGCCCATCACTCTAGGAACAAACTTTATACTGAGACAGACCATTTATGTGGAGTCAACTGACAGTTTCTCAGCTGGGACACATTGCAACCTCACCATTGCTGTGTATCTTTGCTCTTCTTTCTTGTGAATTATTTTTCTATTTTTATTTCTTTGATTTGGATGGCTGTGAACCTGTTTTGTGGTGTTACTGGTAAAGAAAAACTGTTAAAAGCAAAAGAGGAAGAGAAGAGACCTGTTCCAAGTGTGATGAGACTCTTAATCTCAGGGGTGTGGGTTGTGTGCCCCGTGTCGGGCAAAATATTATTGCAGATTCCCTCATTGCAGAGAGTTGGACTCGATGACCCTTGTCCAGTCTCCAGAATTCACAACCCTCATGGTCCCCTCCAACTCTATGATTCTATGAAAGACACAACACAGAGATGTAAGGCTACAAACATTATTGCAGCAACTGTGCTAGTCACATGGCTCAGCTCTTGCAGTCTGTGTGGTCATCCCCAAGCTGCCTCTCTTTATGTCCTCTGTTTCTCTTCATCTGGATCCAGACCAGCAATGATGAACCAAGGCCACACCTCTTATTTAAGGCCTTGGAGGAGACCAGAATACCTCAGGCTCATCCTAATAATATGTCCTCAGAAGCCATCAGGTGGCCGACTGTCAGTGAGTTGACAGCCAAGCTCCGAGAAGGATCTCTCTTCACTCCTCAATATGGTAACACAAGTGAGAGGTTCATGATACAGGCTACTGAAGATGACAAAGTATATAGTAGGCAAGAGTTTGAGGACTGAACTTTGAAATATTCCAGTCAAATCTCTACTCATAGAGAATTTGGTCCATCCAAGTTAGATAGCAAGATATTGTTAGCCAGATTATTGGCACAGATTATCCAAATTGCCCCTGAAGTCATGCAAATTTTGGTGCAAATCCAGCAGAGATAACTTAAGTGTTATACTTCAAGCTTATTTTCAACAGGACCTGAGCATGTATGGAGTAAATAAGGAGGACTGAAATAAGGTTTCTGCAAATTTAAAATCTGAGCGAGGGCTTTGTGAGGAGGTTGTTCAGTGCAAAGAAACATATGGCAAAACCACTGACAGGCCTTTGCGGCTGTTGCTCTTATCAGTCGATAGTTTTCTAGCTATTCTGTCACCTGTCCACTGAATAACTTACTTAGAAAGCGATAATGAAAAGAAAGAAAAATCTCACCAAACGTCAAGACAGCTTTCATTTGTGTGCGCGCGTGCTTTATTTCATGTGTGCAATGTGGGAAATTCACGGATTTCCAGTCCATTAAAACACATTTCAGAGCAGTGTTGTTTGAAGTTACTTTACTTCAGAAACAGCTCTTTTCAATTAACTCTGAAACCTCTTTCAACAGCCTTTCATAAATAGGCCAACATCAATGGCATGCTCTGAGTCAGTGTGTATCTCTAATGGAAATGCACAATGGGCTGAGCTCCATGCCTGCAGGGGGAACATCTTCCATTTCAGACAGATTCAATGAGAAGTTTTGCCAGCTATTCTGGGTCTCTCACTTTTTTTGGTGGGGGGGGGGTCCTCAGGTTTAGCTCATAGCTGATCAATGGCTGTGCTTTTTAATTACACTGTACGGTCTGTAATGATTTGTCACTCATTGAACCTGGGTGTTCTTTTCAGTCAGCATGGGCATAAACAAGCCAAAGAAGGAAAATAGAGTCATGTTAACCCTCTCTGGGTAATGTCTGATAGTTTCATTTTTGTCACACAGCAGCACAACCACTTTTTGGAAACAGAGGGCAAAGGAAGTGCGTAGGGTGCCCAGGGCCCAACATTTCCTAGAAGGTCCCATTTCATTTCTGGTGGGATGTCAGGGAAAAAAGAAGGGCTTGGTGGATTTGTTACCTTCAGAGAGGTGGGATGATGTTGTAAAATGAGGCAGCATTTAAAGGCCTGGGGGCTGAGATGAGAATTGAAAGGTCGGGCCGTGCAATCATACCAATCAGTAAAAAGTTCTTGGAAACAGTTTTGTATGTGTGCTTCTTTTCATCACCATTTTATTCCCCAGCCTCCTTGTCCGACTTCTTTTTCAAGACAGTCCTTCCACAAAAGTTCCGCAGAGTCCTTCCACAGTTCCTTCTTACCTATTCAAGGCCTCCAAAGCCTACTTTTTCCTTCCAGAGGATTACCTGCCAACCACACAAAGGGGAAAAAGGGATGCGAATGTGTGTTCTTTTACAAATAGTAAAAGGAGGATTAGAAATACCTGGACCATCAGATAATATGAATGAATGAATGAATGTTATTTAACATGGGACAAGATTTAGGGCACATATACATTAATTTCTGTGACTTTCTCCTTGGTTGATGCTGCAATCTTATACATTCTTACCAGGGAGCAAGTCTTATTGAATTCAGTACGACTTACATCTTGGTGTGTAAGATCACACTGTTAAACTCATATGATTAATCAACAAAATTTTCTTTAACTGAGCTGCATCATAATTTGATTTACTTATGGGTGTTTTTATTTAACTGAGAGACATATTTTGGAGATGTGAGTTTTCCCTTTTGGCTCATCTAATATTTATTTACTTACAATAATTTTCTCAGTGGTATAAACAACACAGGATAAAACTGGTCCCAGCCCTGTAGAAATATCCACAGCTTCTGTTGTACTTACTTAGCAGTGTAGTTACCTCCCTCTTAGTACAGATTGTGCATTGCTGGAGATTAATTGTGACCTTAAAAATATAAAGAGTCCGTGCAAGATGCCAGTTAGTGACATGGACAAACATGACACCCAGGGAACAGGAAATTGTGACTTGGCATCAATAAAGAGGACATGGCTTATTGCCAGCAACACATCTTTACACTGCTAAATAAATTATTGAAAAAAGCCACTCTGTAGCCACCAATATAGAGTTTTGAATCCATTTCTTTCTATAGCCTGAGAATGGCTTTTGAAAGGACTCCTATCACAAATATTTAAGTAACCAAGATCATAACAAATATGTGAATTTGGATATACTCAGTTCTTGCAACATGCTAAAAGGATCTGAGCAGAGCAGAAAAAGATCACGCTAGAGACCATAATTGCAGCAGATTTATGAAAAGCTCCATGCAGAAAAAAAGACAGGTATCCTTCCTTATATCGGAGTTTTAAAAAAACTTCATAGCTCATCAAACTTTTTCCTGGCAGAACAATAATCATTAGGATGTACTTTGACTTCTGTCAAGTTTGTATCTCCGTATTCTACTGTTTACTTTGCAGGGCCTCCAAAGGTGTTAAGACGAAAATGGAGAGATTCAAGGACGGGAATTGCTGTTGATGATAAAAATATCCCCAGGGGATGCCATTGTGAATCAATACTATGAACACATACATTGGCTTTCTGCTCATGAGAGTTAAGTGGGTTCAAGACATTAAACTCCATCCACCAACATAAAAGGTAGACATCTGTTTTGAAGAGATTACAGAAGTTTGCTGTCTTTGGTAATAAGCTTCGTTTTTAATAGACCAATTCCATAAGTGTTGGAACTCCATAACACCCAAGAAAATGACAACCCCAACCAGCAAGACATTTGGATTTCATAGAAACATGGAACTGAAGAGTTGGAAAGGACCGTGGGGGTCCACCCCCCCTGCAGGGCAGGGATCTTTTGCCCAATGTGGAGTTTGAACCCCTGACCCTGAGACGAAGAGTCTCGTGCTCTACTGATTTGGCTCTAGATAGCACTGCCTAGTTGTTGTCTTAAGTGTGGTGGGAGACCATAACAGAGGTCCATGCTCAGTGGTGGTTCCTTCATCTCTTGCAATATGTGACATTTTCCAAGGAAACAGTGCATCTCTCCTCACAGAATCACATGGAACAAGGGAAAGGAACCCACAGCCACACCAAAGGAATATGAACCCATGAGGTAGCAGTCTTATAAGAGCGTGGGACAATTTATCTACAACAACCCACAACCAGAATTCATCTGGATGGGAGCTGTAACTTTTGCGTGTGTAGGTCCCCAGGCCACCCCTCAAATAACTTCACACATAACACGTAATTTAGTTTTGGTTTTTGGGCACTATTTTGGCCACAACTTTATTAAAATACAAAATCAGTGAGTGGTTGTTTAGACATTGGTTATGACTATCTGTCCCCCCGCCTGGGACAGAACTGACATCCCGAGGTCTGATCGGTAGCCAGTAGAAGAGAAAGTCAAACTGGGGGTCATTTGAGCTAAGCGTCGGACCCACGCCGCTCACCCCAGCAGCTCCCCAAAAGCTTGCCGGCCCAGATCCTATGACAAGGATTCCCATGACAGGGATTGGGCGGCCCTGGTCCCATGACAGGGATTGGACGAAATCATGGCAAGCCCCAGGATTCCTTTAACGGAATTCCCTTCAGCGCAATGGGAGGGGCAGGCACGGCCTATCCTGACCCCTCCACCACCAGCATATTATAACCAATGCCTAACCGCCACACGAGCTCTAACGCTCGCCGCCAACCACTCACAAACCCAACCATGAACCCAATTTAGTAGCCACCGCATGCAGCCAAACATCATTCCCCAAATCGGAGAGGTGCACTCCATCTGCCCGGTAAAGGGCCTCAGCCTTAAAATTAATGTCTGGGTGCGAAATCACCAAACCACCCAGCTCCAATACCTTCACGCAAACAGCAGAGTTAATGCGCTTCCTGGCCCTTTCAGCGGCCTCTGGGCGGGAAACACCGTGCCAGGTTTGCCTCTGCAACAGGTGAGACCAAATTATTCTCACTGAAGGTAATAAGGCTGCCAATGCCTCCAAATCCCTTTTGGACTGAGGTGCGCAAAGCAAGGCAATCAATAGTTGCCACATCATTTTTTCCCCAGCTGCACCACTATGGCCATAGGGTGGGCAGGTCCGAGAGCAGCCGGCGACCAATCAGCGGCATAAGCTCTCCCCATGACATTCCACGTCTGGAAAACCATGACACTTGCACGTGCTGTGGGAGGCCGAGACACGCTCCCTTGCAGACTGCCTCGCTCTGCTGCCAGCCCAATGAACGATGCTGTGTCCCACTATCCAGACGCGGACCAGCGTGGGATCTGCAAGGGTTGAAACAAACAAGCATTAGTACCAAACTCAGCATTTTGTTTCGCACTTAACCCTTGAAAGCATACGATTTCCATCTCCCCAAATCCTTGATCCTGGCGCCTGAGAAGCCCCAATGGGCCGCCATAGTTGCTGCACCTATGCGAAAGGAATGAGGGGCGAAACCAGAGGCCGAGATCCCACAAGCAGAGATGGCCTTACGCATGACTTTTGTGAACTGGTGTCGCGCCAAAGGGTGACCATTTTCATGCATGAGTAGGGGGCCATCCCCAGGAGGTCTCAAGGCCAAGTACTTCCTTACATCCCTGACCGGGCACGGGCCCACCTCCCCAGTCGCTGGGAGGCGGACAACCTCCCCCCCGACCCAGCTGGTCAGTTTTGGAGTTGCGCACTACAAGTCTCAACTCCAAAGGGAAACGCATATATCCCGAAGGAGCAACCCACGAGAACCAGCAACTTCTAGGATCGAGCCAGCCCCCAGGGGAACGAAAAGCCAAATATTTCTGGTATCCAATAACAGGGCAAGGGCCCACCTACCTGTGACTGGAAGCCCGATGATGGCAACCCAGCCCACTAGGTCTGACTTAGAGCTCCAGACACTTATGACAAGCTCCAAAGCAGATAAGGAAAAATCCAGAGGCAATAAGCCTCCAAACTCTCAGCCCTGTGCTGGCTCCAACACAATTTCCCCAACCCTCAGTACACCAAAATTACAATGGAATACTGAAAGAAGTCTCGTCTAGATCTAGAAGCAGGAGACAAGTCTTAACTTGTTGCGGATACTGCATAGGTCAAGATTGACCGGCTTCCTGCCTGCAGTCCTGTGAAGGCTGGAGCCTTCTACAACCTTCCGAGACCCTGCGCACGACACACTTTTAGAAGGGTCTCTGAAAAATTAAAGCTTTACTCTAGCAGACATTGCAGTGGACTGAATTCTGATAGTTTTAACAGTGCATCCGATCTGCAGCAGGTAGTCCAATTACTGCAGGTCCTGCTCAGAGGATGGAGGCAAGTTCCTCTGAATGGCCGAGGACTGCCAGCTAAATGCTAAGAAATCAGTCCAGGCCTGAAAGCAGAAGGGGAAATGTAAGCTACTACTCCTCTTAATTATCAATTGTTGCCAAAGCGCCACAGGAGCTCCAGAAAATCCGGCTATAGCTGGGCATCCAGAGGCCAGGATCTGAAGCTCTCCAACTGAAAACGGGATAGAGTGACAGCGAAAACATTAGATGATCCCGTAATAAAGCGAGCAGAAACGCAATATTAAACCTTAAGCAGTGCAGCTGGAAAGCACATAAAAGGGGACGGAGACTCTGCCGAAGCATGAGGACCATTTTGCCAGGACCCTCACACTGCCTGGTTATCAGACCAAGACAGACCCGATGGTCCCTGTACTCCTCAGTCCAGATGTGCGCTGAGACTACAATGGGGAAAACTCAAGAAAAGTTAGGTCACATGTGATTGCCTTGCCCTGCCAGGCTCAAGGCCACTGTACAGGATGATGAAGGGACCCTGGGCCATGAGACCCCACCTGGCCAAGCAGGAATGGAAGGGGCAGCCTGGAACAACCACCCTGCATGCCACTTTTTTTTTTTTACTGACCTAGCAATGATAGAATCTGACAAAGCAACATTTGCTATCAGAGGAAGTATTACAAGAATAACGTCCTTCACGGCAAACAGCTTTTCCACAGGCAAGCAGAGGTACGAGCAACGGTATCCAGCTAGCCCCCAAATACATTAAAAGGGGCAGTAGGAGCCACTGTCCTATCCACTGGGAACACCCAGCTCCTCAGGGAATAAAAGGGGCGTACAGTAAGCCTTAGCAGAGGCTGGTTTCACATGAACCAACTAGTAAGATAATCCAAATAATGGTACCCCCAGTTAAACAAGTCTTGACTTGCAATGTTCAATCCAGAAAGACGCTAAAGGACTCGAGTGCTGCACAGCCTATAGCGCAACCCATTGGCATCGCCTTATAAGTGTAAGGACCATCCAATTAAGCCCAACTACTTATAATCTTGAGGGTGAACCGGCAGCAGCCTAACAGTCAATTCAAAATCGCATAATGCCAACAAGGCCCTCTTCCAATATGTTGGTAAGCTCAACTGCCTGATCCAAAGATGCATATTTTGCGGAACAATTCCAGAGAGTCATTCACTGAGGTGCCTTTGGGATGCGATAAATTATATGGGGGATTATATGGGGCTTTCTTAGGGACGATCCCCAAAGGGGATAAATGAAAATAGGAATAGCAGGAGAATCAAGGGGATACCACCATACGTCCCAATGAAAGCTGCTTCCTAACCTTCTTACTTGCTACCACAGGTAGCTCTCTGACTGGCTTTGAGTTGCTGTATTCTGAGCCACTGGCTGAAGAGCCAGAGGAATCCCAAACCTTGGGAAAACCCTTCCCACAAGCACAAAACCACTGACCTATCTAGATAACCATTTGGCCAGGCTTTCAAGGAAGATATTTTTATGGAAATATGGGCGAGAGGTATTGAGTTATTGCTTGCTAGCCCCCAGCCCCCACATTGGGCAAAATGCCCTGCCTTGTGTTGCCACCATGATGTGTAAATTTGCAGGGCCAACGCCGGCCAGAAACCCTAAAAAGTCCCAACAAAGCTGCTGCCGGGCCAGCTTCCTGCATACCAGCTTAAGGTTCCATAGCTCAGGGAATTTCCATTTGAAATGTAGAGCTGCACAAGTGGTCCACATGTCCCCGTCCCTGCGATCCTAGCAAGCTGAGGGGATGATGGCAGCCCTGCATCTAACATTCCCATAGTGAATTGCAACTTAAAGAATAGTGGGGTGGAAGGGACCCTGAGGATCATCTGGTCCACTCTCCCACAATATCATCATCATCATCATCATCATCATCATCTATTTGTTCCCCAGCCACTCTGGGCAGCTTACAACAAAAGATTGAAATAGAGTAATGCAGCAAACATTAAAGGCTTCCCTAAACAGGGCTGCCTTAGACGTCTTCTAAAAGTCTGGTAGTAGACATCTGATGGGAGGGCGTACCACATGGCGGGTGCCACTACCGAGAAGGTCCTCCACATGGTGCCCTGTAACTTGGCCTCTCACAGTGAGGGAACCACCAGAAGGCCCTCGGCGCTGGACCTCAGTGACCGGGTAGAGTGATGGGGAACATGCAGCTGTCCCATACAGGGACCAATACTGCAACCTAGGTATTACCGGCACCATACGCTGACCAGCTGAGCTATCCAGGATGATCCCTAAAGACCCAGGTTT